TCATATTTCTTGAGCATGTTGATATGGAATAGCTTCTTCTTGCCTCCCACCTCTAGCTCGTAGTCCACTTCATTCCTTCTTGCTGTTACAGGAAACGGTCCTTTCCACTGCATGATCATTTTGTTATGATCGGTGGGGAGAAGAATGAGTGCTTGATCTCCCTGTTGCATCCTTCGGTTAGAGCTCCTTCTGTCGTAGTAGCCTTTGTATTTCGCCCTCGCTTCTTCCAGGCAAGTGTGTGCTAACTTGCACGTGTCCTCCAGCTTTTCTCTTAGCTCCAGCACGTATCCGTACGAAGTCTTCAGATCTTGTTTGAGAGCTTCGTTTGACCACATCTCTCTCAGAATAGCCAAAGGTCCTCGCACTCTTCTCCCGTAGAGTAACTCGAAAGGCGAAAACCTGAGGCTCGACTGTGGAACCTCTCTGTAAGCAAACAGTAGAGCTGGAAGGTATCGGTCCCAGTCCTTGGGCCTCTCCTGGCACATCCTTCTTAGCATTTGCTTGATTGTGCCGTTGAATCTCTCCACCAAGCCGTTGCTCATGGGATGGTACGGGGTGGTCAGGAGGTGCTTCATTGATAGAAGTCGACTCACCTCCCTCATTAGTTCTGAGGTAAAGCTGGTCCCGCGGTCGCTAAGGATCTCTTGTGGCACACCGTACCTCGTGAACATCTCCACCAGTGCTTCGGCCACCTGCTGGGATCCAATGCTCTTCAACGCTACCGCATCCGGGTATCTCGTAGCCATATCCACTATTGTCAGTATGTACCTGTTTCCCGAGGTCGCGATTGGTACAATGGGGCCAATTATGTCTATCGCGACTTTCTGAAAGGGCGTCTCGATAGTCGGCATGCTTCCTAAGGGTGCCTTGCCCTGCTTGCCCTTGGGTACTGTGCGTTGACACACATCGCACGACCGAACGTATCTCTTGACCTCGCTCTGCATACAAGGCCAAAAAAATTCTTCCGACACCAGGTTGAGCGTGTTCTTCATGCCCTGGTGTCCTGACATTATGCTGTCATGTGCTAGAGCCACGACGGCGCTCCTGAACCTTCTCGGGAGTACAAGTTGCTCTATCCTTCTGCCGGATGAATATTCAACGGCCCTATGTAGCAAACCATTCTTGAGAAAAAACTGGAACTTCGTCCTGCCCTTGTGTTTTCTGGTCGTTTCCCCTATCTTACCAAAACACTTCATGAGAGTTTTATCCCCCTTTTGCTCCATGGCGAGCTCCTCGGTTGTCGCATCGATCACTGCCGCCTGCGATACCTTCAAAGGACGGTCTGGTCTTTCCATTTGACCACCTGCTCCCTTCTCCCTCGCGGACGCAACTTCTGCTGGTTTGTCTTTCCGGAGCTCGTCAGTACATTTGGACAATCTCGGTGTCATGCGACTATTAAAGCTTACTTCAACGGCGTTCGGAAGTGCTTCCGGCTTCGACGTTGGCTTGGCCAAAACTTGACCTTGACTCTCTTCGTTTTTAATTTCCCAGTCTGGGTTTGGATCATTGGCCTCCCGCATTTGGGGTATATTCCCGAGTACCAGATCATAGAGAGGATTACTTACACATTTTGCCGTCACTTTCCCTGTATAGTAGGGTGTTCGTACAACTATATCCGCCTCGGGCAGATATCGAACCGTGCGGTCTAGCAGAAACACCGGACTTGACTTTCCTGTTAGGCTCTCTCGGGGAACCAACTCCTTACGGACCACGACGGTGTTACACCCGGTATCCCTTAATACCGTTATCTTGTGCTCCCCGAGACGGCCTTCCACGACCGGCATGTTCTCTACTAAGAACTTTGGAGGTGTTCCCATGGCCGCGTTTACTACCGGGATTTTGTCACCATTATCCAGTGTTACGTAGGAGTCGTCAGGCGCGTCGACGGCCCCTGTTGACGCAGTCCATAAGCACGAGGCTTGCTGCTTCTCGTTCTGCCTTCCCCTGCAGTTTTCCGCCCTATGACCAGCGCGGCCACAATTCCAACACGCCACTGTTTTCTTGCCTTGCGCGTTGCCTCTGCAATTTTCGGCCTTATGTCCAGCCTTCCCACAAATGAAGCAGCGGATAGCTCTTCGCGTTTCTCCCCTTGCGTGAGTGTCTCCGTTTCCAGCACCTTGCCTGGTTGTCACCTCGTCTGACTTTTGCCTAATTGAGCTGGATGGTGTCTGGGCTTCTAGGAACAGGTCTGCCTTTGCTGCTACGTCTTCCAAAGTCTGAGAATCACGCTCTCTAAGAAAGACGGCCAGTTTGCTGGAGCAGGTCAACATGAACTGTTCCACCAGGACCTGGTCTCGTAATGCCTCGAAAGTCTTCTCAACTCCAGCTATCTCGAGCCATCGGTCAAAAAATCCGGCCAATCGGGCAGCGAATTGTCTGCGCGTTTCGCCCTTCTCGGGTTCGGCGTTGCGAAACCGCTCGCGGTACCCCTCCTTAGTATACCTAAATCTTTGGAAGAGCGCTAACTTGACCTTTCCGTAATCCAACGCATCCGCCGGTGCCATCCGGCCAACCACAGACAGTGCCTCCCCGGTCAAGCATAAGCTTAGTGTGGTGGCCCATTTCTCCAAAGGCCAGCTCAACCCTGTTGCTGTACGCTCGAAGCGCAGTAGATACGAGTCTAGATCATCCCTCCGTTCGTCGAACTGCGGGATTAACTTGTGGGGACTCCCTCGAATTACTAGGCCTGGCGCTTCCCCGCGCTCGTCTCCCACAGTTCCTGCACTTTCATGACTAATCTCACGTGCAGCGATTTTCAGCTGCAGAATCTCCCTTTCCTTTTCTAATTTAGCGCACTCTGCAGCTAACGCTCTTTCAGCTGCTTCCCGGTCTTCCCTTACGTTATCACGTTCCTCAGCTCTCTCGGCTCTCACGCGCGCTTTCTCTTCATCCGCCCGAACTCTTTCTTCAGCTACCCATTTCTTTAGCTCGTCCCCAGCATACCCCAATTCCTTACCCAACGCGATTATTCGTTCTAGCTCCATATTAACACAACGGACTGAGCTTCCCCTCAACTCTCTCACTTCCCGGAAAAACGCAACTAGGATTTAATGGGCCTAGACGAATCCTGGCAGGCTCGCCAATTTGTCAGGTTCGTTCGGGAAGGTGAGAGAGAATCATGGAAGCCAGAGCCAGCGGGAGAACTCAAACGTACTTTACTGTAAGAAGAAAAAAAAAAGGAAAAAAGAAAAAAAAAACTGGAATACGATCAGCGTCGGATAAATGAAAAAAATATTGCATTCAAAAGTTAAGATATATACTGTCAACACAAATAGTCATCACCCTGTATAGTCACCATGGGCTGTGGCGGGTGGATCGTCGTTGGGCGGATCGTCGGAGAATGATGTCCGGCCCGCTGGTGCCCTTCGGACCAGCTGACGATGCCGAGCGCGGTGATCCAAGCTTGGCGGAGTCGTTTGCGAGGACGGAAACGTAGCCGACCGGTTCAAGCCTGGCGGAGTCGATTTCGAGGACGGGACATAGCCGACCCGAGCTCCGCAACCCCAGAAGACAGCCGTCAAATCTCGCGCTTCGTCGGATTGCTTCGAACCCTTCTCGCGCCTCCTTATTCTTCTTCTTTTTTTCATGCTGCCACAAATCTCTCCTTCGTTCCTTTTCTTTTTCCTTGTCTTATAGATCATGACAGTGTATCATTTGTACATGCAAATAGCGGCCTTTTGATGACTGGTGACTGAAGATTATGAAGACAGAAACCGATGCGGTGCCTGAGCATCCAGATGCTGGTTAGCTGTATTGTTGGTCGATGTCACCGTGACGAGACTTATAAGCTTCTATGTGCTACGTATTTGAAGTTGTCATGTAAGTCCTTGGAATGCTCGGCTTTGGCACACCCCAGAGAGCATGACAATAAAATGCGAACTTTGTGAAGGCGTTTACTTTACTATAAGTGCCTTGTACAGAGTGGTAGTTTCTTGACAACATCGAAACTGAAGCAAATAGAGGAATAACCGTGCATCGAAAAGCACCGTAACTTTCGCACGTCTACCGTTGATCAATAGGTACCAGATTTTTATACGCCATTAGCGTATAACAATTTGGACTGATATAGTAGTCACTAGATGGCACTGAGATCTGTGAAAAGAATTGGTGAGGGAACCGGTGTAACACCGGACGTATATTTTCCCGCTAAATCTAGCGGGAAAACTGAATGGTTGTATGGGACACGTGACGTCGATTTCCCCCGCTAAATTTAGCGAGGAAACTGGATTGGTGTCTGGGTCACGTGACGTCAATTTGTTCCGCTAAATTTAGCGGGGGGAACTGAGCTGGTCTGTATGTCCCGTGACGTCAGGTCAAGTGGCATCACTTTTCCCTCTAAATTTAGTTCAGAACCTGAATTCGTGTATAGGTCTCGTAATATTAATTTCCCCGTTAAATTTAGCGGGAAATGGACGGAGGGACTGACGGACGGACTAAATTATGGGATTGGGGCTAACTTTAGAGAAGCATTTCATGCTTTAATACGAGGGAGATACGTGTCACTCCACCATAATCCAACGACCTTGGCGCGGTCAGGTTTTGCGTAGCTGGAACGGCCGGATGCTCCGTCGACTCTTGATTTTCCATTTTGAATCGTAAGGTGCGAGTGCTGCCATCCATCGTCGTGGGCATCTCGAGAGCCAGTCGAAACATTCGTTTCTGCTGTGTCGGCGAACTCGGTGCCGGAGTGCGCCAGCGGTAGCCCTCTCCCCCAGCGCAGTGCGACTGCGCGACAGCATGCACAGCGCGATGTGCATGCGTTCTCTGGGGCTCGAGCTGCCTACTCCACTAAGGGAGCATTTGGTGCTGCAGGCGCGCTGTTTGATGTCGACGACGTGTGCAGAATAAGTAAGTGGTAGGGCCCAGTCAAGAGACCATTTCGTCTTCTCTTGCCCTAGCGCCTCATATTTTTTTTCGCCCGAAATAAGGATTTTAATAATTTATTCTACGTGGTAATGTATTTGGTATAATTGTTTTTATTTTTCTCCCCATTACAACAGGTACGTGTCCATTCTGAAGTCATTGCTGGCCCCCGATTTTTCCTACGGCCTGTGGGTGATCGATTACGAGGCTGAAGGATACGCAGGTGAGTTTTCGGGCCAAAATAAACCGACGAATTAAACCTATAGGCGCTACAAGTCCGGGCAAAAGAATAATGACGCCACGTTAATTGTGCGTTTCAGTAGCTGTACCTTATTTTGTAAGGTTGCAAAATTTGTTTTGTAGGACAAGATAATGAAGCTAGGAGCCATAAAATACGGCGATGTGTCCCCGAAAAACAAGATTACAGTGTTTCCTTTCTTGTAAAAAGCTACGCATCGCCAGCTGCTGACTCCGTTAAAATGTATACACCGCCAGCAGTTCGGACCGGATGCAAAAGCTTCAGAGCTAGTCGTTCTCTTATTCAAATGTTACAAGTGTTTTTTTTTTAATGCGAAATCATTAACTGCTTTCATGGAACGAACTGCTGTTATCAGCTTTTGAAGCCGCAAAAAACGGCACCTAAATTCTCTTGTCCCATGGAGCGAAGCCTCTACTCTGTGGCAGCGAAACAAGGAATAAATTCCCGTTGGCTGCCACGCGTCATATCAGATGCTTCGTCACGAAAGCCGCAGGGGCCGCTCAATATGAAAGCGGACGCGCCCCAGAAAAAATAAAGCACAAAGAAAAGCACAGCAACGCAGATGCATGGTCGCGGAAGCCGTGGCGCCGAGAAAGGGGGGGGGGGGGGGGGGGGGGCGGCGTGATTTCACTACCGGAGCGCAGATAGAAAAAGGAGGACGTGGCGCGCTGCTGGTAGGAATGCGCTGCGTGTATGAATGCTTTGGAATTCTTACACGTTAGCAGTCGTAAATGTTGTTTTTTTTTCTTTTAAACTTTCGATGGGAAACTGGTTCTTTCACTATAATTTGCGCCCTTCAGCCCCTCTATTCGTGATGTTCATCGGCCACTACTTTCCATTTCAAGCTTTCGAACATCGCGTATATAGCTTATAAATGAAATACATGTTTCTTCTAAAACTGTGCATCGTGTCCGGACCGCTAACGCTATTTTTGGGCTGAGAATGAACCTTTGAAGGTGCAGATTTTGTTGTTACAATAATAATAATAATAAAGGTTTCAGGACACCTTGTAGGCCTAGCGCCTCAGAATTTGACGAAAGAATAGCTTAGGATACGAGCTGAGAAGTTTGACGACGCACTTTATAATTCTGGAGAAACTCCTTCCCTGACTTTATACCTTTCACACTTCATAATGTTACAAGACGCGTATGTCTTCGTTTGAGGAATAATTTCGTTTTTCGTGTTACTCCATTTCAACACTTTTTTAAGATTCAAGAAAATGCATGAATATAGTGTAAGTGGAGAGATAGAACTTTGAAAGGAACCTCGAAAAAACACTATAGGCCAGGATTCACGGGAAGAATAAGATACGAAAAAGCGACGAATTTTGCTCGGCTGTGTTCGCTCTTCGCCTGGCGTCGGAACAGAGGCTGTTGCGCCACCCGCAAAGCAAACGTGCCGTCGGGCGAAATTCATGGCTTTTACGCAGCCTATTTACTCCACGGAGTCCAGCGTTCAGGGTTTCGCCCGACGCTTCCCTAACACACGTAATTTCTTCGCTTGGAGACTGTCCTAAATAAGCTGTAAGTAAGACCGTCTTCCGCTACATACCAAAGGCCTTGTTACATTGGTAATATACAACAAACAAAAGACAGTGTGCATACACTGTCTGGGGTGTTGCATCCACGTTTGACGTCAAGTTCGCAAACGAAAACTGTCTGCCGACATGTCCGAAGCATACAAATGTAGGAAGGAAGCAGCGAACACCGTCTTTTTGTATGATGTAGTCTGCAGAGGTCGCAGATATGTGTAAATAAATCAAAAATAAGATAAAGTGTGACTCACATTTTGCGTTTGATTGCTACTGCGTTTCACTTACTCGTGACCGCTTATAACGACAAAGAACCCTCGATAAAGGCGTGTTTTTACAAGCTCCGCCAATCATTGGTGTGGAAACGCGCAAGACACGTGCCACAAGCGGGTACTCCGCCGCCATTCGCTTCCAAAGGCCGCTCGAGACACGGGGGCCTCGTGCACTGGCGCATTTTACGCTTCTTGCAAGACACACGCAGACACGTCGAGGTGCTTTTTAAACACCGGTCCACCGCGGTCCTCTATCATGGTGCCTAGCATTCTTCTGAACTGCGTATAACTAGACTCCAAGTCGTTTCAGGATTTCGAGATTCAATCTACTTGCTGTCTGCGAGACATTGTAGCTGAGAAAGTTTTTTCGAATTATTTTAAGCCAATAATAAAAAAAGGACGTTTAAAAAAATCGTGATGTCTGCAAGTAGAAATTAATTTAGCGCACCCCGAAAGATGGCGCCAGTGTGTGTTTCCGTCGTAAGCAGTCAGAATCCCCAGTTTCAACGCACTCGATAACACTCAAAGGCAGGTGTGTGAACCAGTCATCGCCTCATCACCGCCTCATCAATTGTCATTCGTGACAATATGGTGCAAACGTGCCGCCCGCACATTCGCTTTGAGTGTCAGGAGCCTTGACAACTCTACACGCGTCGCGTTTCTTTCAAGTACTGACAGCCATTGTTGTGCGAACGGGCGAGACAAGCACCTGGTGCGAGTGCTCTACCGCCATTTGCTTCTAAGGCTTGCACTAGGCACAGGCCTCGTGCATTGGCGTAGTTGACGCCGACCAACGCCGTTTTTTTTATCTATCAGTCGACAAGCTCCACGGAAGAGCGGCGTACGAAAACGGTTCTTCTTGTTCCAAATCTTACTTGAATGAATCCGTGTTACTCCGGCGGATCATATCATGTGACAAGACAGATGTAGCAACGCTGGACGCGCGTAGATTTTCGAAGGCCAAGGTTCCATGGAAATAGGGATAAGAGAAAGCGACACAGCGGTCCAAGCCAGCCATACGAGAAAATTCAAAGTGAAGCCGAAAGCATAGGTCGCGGTCCGTGGGAACGCGCCCCAAGGGTGACACCATCTGCCCAATAGTCTCCAAGGGTGTCCATGTTCGTTCAAAAGCGACTTTTGGTTTTCGTCATCGCTGGGGGTGTGTTCCTTTAAACCGGAAGTGGTGGCGTCATGTCGCCTCCAGAAGCTTCCTACGTTCATGCAATCTACAGAACCTTTTCCTTCACCCTAAGGTGAGATCGAGTAAATATTGGAACACTGCCTCTGTTGCCTGCACGCGTACGGCTGGATCGTCAACACCTCCACAAGCAACGGTAAAGAACCGTTTTGTATAAACGACCATAAAATCACTTTCCACCGAAGGCAATGTCTATCTAACACTCCACCGATTCTATCGCTTCTGTCCATAGGTGTGGTGATCACGTAGCGCATGTCACCGAGCGCAGGAGTCAACAAAAGGCGCTTCGCGTTCTAGGAAGCTTCTCATCTCACTTTCATCAACTATTGTTGGTTGACACTACTTGTAAAACAAAACAAAAAAATCGCATAAAGCTTGGGAGTGCGGATTGGTGACTGATACCCTTGTTACACGGGCACACTTAACTGCAGTTACGCTAAGCCACAGTTAGCGCACAATACTTGCGGACAACATACTGCGGCTGTGCAGTCAAAGCTATGGGCGAACATCCGTTTTTAAACTTGCTCCAACAAATTGACTGGTGAAATTTTCACCTCAATAAATGTCTTCAACAACAACAACATGCCCTTCAACATCTTGAGCACCCATCAAAGCAGTGCACGCGCGCTCTTCCCTTCTTCTCATATAGCTGTCCGAGAGTATAGACGCTTTCAGGCAGCTGTGCATGGGCGCCGCCATAACTGACCTTCAGTTTTTGTTCCGTATTATCCCGTTCGCTCCACTTCATCATTACCACAGCAGGATCGGTTATTGCCATTTTAAGTGTTACTGTGACCTTCTCCCCAGCCTAGGCTTTTGTGGAGGCTCGTCAACGCCCGCTTCAGTGGCTCGGCATCTCGGTAAAACAAGAGAAGGTCGGCTATGGCGGCTCAATCTGGCGCGCGCTGAAAGCGTCTATATCACGGCAACTGTGGTGCCATGTAACAGCAGTTAAAGCTGAGTTAACCACGGTTAAGGGTGCCCGAGTCAGGGGTATACGTGTGCCCGTGTATGCTAGCGCACACCAGCTCTGAGTGCGTGGTGCGAGAGCTCGCGCTGCAGAGCCCAGCGATCCTCGGTTCAATCCTTACCCTTGCCCGTTTCCATCTCGATGAGAATCGTACCGGCGTGTGGTCATATATCACTATACTGCGTGGTACACGATAAATACCCCAGGCTAGGGTGCCTTCATGTACGCTTTGGTTGGGGCGGAGACATCGCGCCATTTTCTCCTACACGTTTATTTTTCTTTTTTGTTCAGAAGCGCCTGAAAGATCGTGTCCATGCACGCGTTTGTGGCGCCGACTGTACTAAAGCGACATTTTGTTTTCTACAATTTCTTTGTATTTTACCCGTGAGCGTGTGCTGTCGGCATCGGGTACTCCAAAGAAGGCATCACCCTAAACAGAAGGACATTGAGGCATTCTACCCCAGGCTATACTCCGTTTCACATTATGTTGTACCGCAGCGAAGGCTAGAAGCGCGAGCTCATAGCGTTGGCAGCTGCCCTTGGTGCACGAGAGCTTGTTTCGCCGTGATGTGCCCTAGAGCAAGGAGCTTGCGCTTGTAGCCTTTCCTGCGGTACAACACAAGATGAAACAGAGTATAGCGGTTGCACTGCACTAGCTAAATTTCTCATGTACAGCTGAGACACCATTGGGGCTGACTGACTTCCGGTTGTATATACATACAAAGAACACAATTACCTTTATATTTAGGGGCTTGACTAACAACGCGCGTAGAGCCCACGCTGCCGGTGAAATGCGTAGGTTGTTCCCAGAAACTTCGCTCCGTGGAATGCAGCTCTGCTTCTTCGCTAAAAGAGTAAGTTATAGAAACGCGAGATGGGGTACTCTTAGCAAAAGGTTTCCTTTCCAAACATCCAAGCTTCGAAAATGGGAGAGTCTTCAAAGGATTGATTTTTATTATTTTAAAACAGATAACAATAATACTGACCTCGCTAGAGCTCAAACAAATGGTTTCCTCCCTGAAAAATGGACCAACACGTACTATTTTCAACTGGTGATTTCTTATTTTCTTTATTACTATTATTACTATTTTTCAATGGGTAACAACTAGGGCAGCAAACTTGAGTTGTTATAAGGTGTTAAGCGTGAACATACTTAACTGCCTTTTAGGTTGTAACATGTATTTTTGTTTCAGGCACTCCCAGACCTATGCCGGAGGGACGGATTCGGAACCTGTTTGGTAAGGATTCCTTAAAGCGGCAGGGGGAAGGGGGGGGGGGGGGGGGGGGGGGGGGGGGCAACATGTCGCAAGGTTACACTGCGGCTGCAAGTGTGATATATATCAGGAGGGCCATGATCTGAAAAAAAAAAGCACGGGGGTTGTCTAGATATTTTATTCTGACAACAGAAGCAATAAACTGCGGACGTCTGGCAACGTGGGATGTCCATAAGCACCACAATATATTAAAATGCCAACACCACCCCCCCCCCCCCCCCCCCCCCGGACCAGGGCCGTCATCACTACAAAGAGCAGCTTACAACTCAGTCTTTTACTTCATTCGATGTACCGGCATAGAAGCACTCTTTCAATCTGGATGAACATCATACCCGCGTGCTGTCATATATCCCTACAAATGCCTGGTGCACGTCAAGGTTCCCAAGCTAGCAGAAATATTGCACTGGGTAAATTTCTCATCTACAGAAGTTGAGCTAGTCAGCCCCTTGGGGTTGACCAACCCCACCTAGACTGAAGGCCTCCGCACGCGTTATCAGAGTCAGTTCGATCGAGTCGTGAGATTGACCACGAGTGCTTTGACAGTGTTCGGCTGGAGCTTGTGTTCAATCAGCGCGTCGAAGGTCGGGCTTGGGCCCAATAGCCGAGTTAGAACGATCCAACTCTGATGGCGTTTCATAGAGGGAGAGGAGACCATGCGGAGGCCTTCTGTCTAGGTGGTGCTGGGCTGACTCACTTCTTGCTGTCTAGACCAGTCTAGACATCCTCACAACACAATTCCTTTTTGTTTTTCAGGAGACGGCATGAAGCTCACGTTGGTCGACAAGAGCGAGCCGAAAGTGGGCCGCTTCCTTCCGAGACTGTCGACGCGGTGCCTGTGGCACCTAACGGGTCGACCTTGAGCTCGACATCAGGGGCCAGTGTTCAAGCCCCATGGAGCCTCGTACACCAATTCAAACGATGTCGCTTGAGCAGGAGTCAATAAAAGATACGGCCGCGTCTGAGCACACAATTCATTAATTGTTTGCCGGTGAGAAAAAAAAAAAAAAAAAGATGCACTCTCTTGATCATGCTGACAAACACCAAAGAGCACAGAACGCGTTGTGATGAACCTGGACACAGGCTATGTCTACGTCAGTGTGTCGAACCGAAAAAAATACGGGTTCGGTTACGGTTCAGGTTCAGGTAAATTTATTTTGTTCCGGTTCGATTAATTCGATCCGAGAACCGGTTCGCGAACCGGTTCGGGGCGCTGAACCGGTTCGCGAACCGGTTCGGAAATTATAAATGACAAATTGCAACATCAAAATAAATTACAAATAAAACATCTGAAATCAGCACATACGAAACGGGATACATCGTAGTGTAAGGCTGAGGGATTTCTACCAGGAATGGTTTCTTTATGTGCACTCAAAGGTTACCTCACCGACGTTTACGCATTCGGACTACATCTAATTGGGTCCGACGCAGTAGCTGTAAAATCCGCGACCTCCTTACAAACCCACTTACAACTAGAACTCGCTAACTATCCCGCCACCTCAGCGTGTAAGCAATTGAAGGAACAGTGGGGAGAAAATACAGCTTTCTTTATTTGAACTAGCCTTCGGTAACTCAAATTAGACCCTTAAAGAAGTTTTCATTAAACAAGATACGGAATATGAAAAACACTTCACCGAACGCAACGCCAGAAGGACGTAATAGGATAAATATTAAAATAGAAGAGTTCGCTGTCTCACAAACATGTTACCTTCTAAGTGCCTATAGGAAACCGGATGCATTATTATCAAACTCAACAGCCTTTTTTTTTTCTCATTCCGATGGAAGCAAGCTTCAAGAACTTGCGCGTTCTAGAAACGTGTTATGAAATGAGCACACAGCAGCATTTAGGATTTACGAGATTGTAAAAAAATAAAATCCCGTGACGCGATTTTTTTTTTTTTTTTTTTTGCACAGCCTTTTAATTCTTTTTTTTTTCCGTGCAAGCCGCGACCAGCGCAATACCGGTTCCTATGTCAAGATTCATGGATGCAGCGTTTGTCAAGATTTATGGATGCAGCGTTTATATTCCTAAGACTAAATGGAGAAGAAAAATACGTAAGCGAGGTGATAGCACATTCATTGTCAACAGCGCGTGGCCGAACCCTTTTGACATGAGCCGGTAACCGTTATTTTTTGCGGTTCAGTTCCGGTTCGGGTTCATCGCGATAACAATATAACGGTTCGGGTTCGGGTTCAGTTCCGGAAAAAATACCGGTTCGGTTCCGGTTTTCGGTTCGGTTCCGGTTCGACACCCTGGTCTACGAGACTTCGCGCGACATCAAGACGCCATATATGATTGTGACATCACACGGTGTCAGGGTATCATGTGACGTCGTTACGTCACGTAACAGTATGATGTCACGCGTGACGCCACAATGTCACATGACGTCATGTCGTCAGGGTGTTGCATCGCGATACACTGTTACGTGAAATCATTGTATGTCACATGACGTAACGACGTAACGTAATGTCACAGTCCTTCGTCACAGTTCTTCGTGACGATGTTCTCATAGATTTCGGTTGATAAAAACACATTCAGTGTTAAAATACGCAGCTTTTCGCCACAGCGCGTGAAGAAGGGACAGCAATAACCGCTACTGAGCGTTGTTACGCACTATCCTGTCCCTATCCACTTTCTATCTGCGCTATCACACAAAACACAGCCTTGTGGTTACTGACGCGTGTAGGAGAGGAAACACTGAGCACATGAGTCAACGTCTGCCAAGAATGAATCGAGACGAGTACCATTACGAGTTGTGGGTTGCTTTCATCGCATCTGATATAGGGGGGTGCAAACCGAGTTCTATGCGGAGAGGAATGCGAGGAACCACTAGTTTTATCCGCCAATGAGCCTCCGGGAGTGGATAACGTAGCAGCTTCGAGATATACCATTGGGAAGTTTTAAATAACAAATCTTTTGATGTCAGAGCGGAATGTTCCAAACGAGATGTACATTGAAGCGACACCTCACTTTTGGCGGTTTTTACAGCGTGTGCGTCGCCACAACTGAGCGCGTACAAGGAACGAGGTTCAGGAAATGCCACCTAGGAAACGTAGCCTGCGCATTATGTCATCGTTTCTGAAGTCCCGAGCAAGGGTGAATAACTTTGATCTAATGTGGCCACGTGATTTGAAGGTGTCACGATTTTTTTTTTTTTTTTTTTTGGTGCCTGGCCTCAACGCGGACGCAACAAATGCAGCTGGGAAGTCTCCATAACAGCTATCGACCATGTAATGGGAAGAAACACCTTGATGGGTTTGCTTGAAAAGGGACATAAAAATAACAGGAGGGGGTGTGGCTACATGTAAAAGCGTCATCCATAGCCGATTTTGCGCCCTGTACAGTTTTGAATTTTTATTCAAAAGTGTTGTCTGCAGTCAGAGTTTTATCTCATTGTATTGATTTATATCTAGGGTGTATATTTTCGGTGTTTATTTATGACAAAATCGGCGGATGTTTTTGTCGGTGTTTATTTATTTCACCAATACCGGTGCTTTTCGGTGAATTCTCTCGTCCAGACGCTAAAAACGGGTATTATCGGGAGGGAAACTGCGAATGTAAACTACCACTGGAGACGAAAAACAGTCCAAATTGTATTTACATATTTTACGCAATCCTTTTCCCACTTGATTATTGTAGTTTATTCAAGCACACATTCCTTGGTTCGTGTGTGTCAATGACGCTCTCTCCTTCCTGTTGACGACGCACAATTTCGAGAATGTCCGCTCAACATTTGCGCTAGACACGGGAAGCCCCAAAACGTCCAACGATGCTTGGGACAGTACTGGCCAGCTGTGACTGGCCTCTCGGGCCGCTGACAGTGATCTTCAAGCTCGGCGGTCCAGGAGGACCGCTGACCTTGAAAAACAGTTGAACAAAGCTACTGTCCTCCAAGAGTCCGAAACCATGTAGGTCAGAAAAAAAAAAAAGACAGGCAAACTGCATGATTTCTGGTAAGATAATGTGTTTGAGGGAAGTTTGTGTATGACTTTTTTAGTGAAACAAACACAACATTGCCAGAAAAATAATGTAGTTAGAAATCGGTGTTTGTCTTTTTTTAAGGATTTTTATTTTTGTTATTGGCGAATGTTTATTGATGTTTTTTATTGGCTCAAACGAGAGGCTGTCATGAGTGACAAGCTGCAGATGTTACGGTGGCCCGAATATGAAGTGCACTTTGACAATGTCGAATATTGTAGCGATAATTCCACCGCTGGCGGCAAACACTGCAAAAAAGTATACGCAGCCGGGAGGTTCTCTTCCTCCAACCTTCACAAGCACCTCGGGATGAGTTTGGATTTTTATCTCTAAACAACTGCCGCTGGGCATGGAGACGGAACGATGAAAGGCTGAAGCGTCGACAGCGCTCTCCAGCCTCAACGACCTTCCCACCATACGGAAAGCTGTTCTTTTACGGCTGAATACTGCACTGACATCCAGCGCATCCGTTGAGCGCCTCTTTAGCAAGGGCCGGGATGTGTATCAAAAGAAAAAGTTAAGTGATTTTTGAAAAGCAGTTGCTGCTGCGTTACATCAACTAAATAATTTATTATTTTGTCCATCTTGTGTTGAAGCAGCCGACGCTTTGATTCAATAAAGTCGACGGTAATAATATGTATCTCAAAAAGTGAAACAAGAGTTTTCTGAGAGTGCCAAATAATTATAAATCGTAGTCATTGTGTGTTGTCATCAATGTGTTCATAGTAAATAGAAAACCACGAAAATGTTTTGAAAGTAACTAATAGCGAGTTCGTTTCACACGCACTGACACCGTTTGAGTTCTCTCCCAGAATGCATCGCACTTGCGCAGTGTCGCACGGACACCTGACCCTAAACAAACTTGGCAAACGCACCGTGTGCAGAAGACTGATGCTGTCGCCATCTATGTTGTAGAAAGAGTACCGACTTGAAACACCGAAAATAGCGTCTTTCTCTTCGACGTGATGGGTGGGAATGCGAGAGTGCAGTCGCTACCAACGTTTACAACGAACTCGCTACGGTGACGAAGTAACTGCAACTGTAACGCGTTACTTTTTGTTTTTAGGTAACTGTAACTGCAACCAAAATACATTTTGGCCAGCTATCTGTAGCTGTAATAAATTACTTTTTAAAAAGTAACTCACGCAAGTCTGTGTTTATGAATTTGTGGGAAACCTAAAGTTCAAAGCGTTGGCCCGTGTTTCCCGCCTGCCGAATCGTCAGTGAACATTTCCAACGCGAGGGGGCCGAGGGCAATTGGCCATGCGTGCGGAATAAAGGACTGCGTGTTGTTGAACCAGTGCGTTGTGTCATTCTCCGAGACCGTTAGCAGCAAGGGAATTCCCAAAAGTTATACGCATTAAAAGGCCAACTCAAGAGCTTTTTTAGCGCTGGTTTAATGATAGCAATGCATTGGTCGGATATTCGCTTCACAAGTCCGACAACAAAGAGAAAAAATGCAAAAGTAATGCTAGATTGTGTGACGTGTGTTAAATATTGAAAACGAGGAGGAGGAATGTGCGCGCAACAAAGGACCGAAGACGAGAAAGTGCGAAAAAAAAGCGCGAGGACAGAGAACATCGAGACGATCGAGGCAGCGGTGAGCGTTGTACATATCCTGCTAAGTAAACGCGTTTTTCTAATTTACACCGTGGACGTCGTTCCTCTAACTTCAAGAAATATTGGTGCCGAAACCCGGGACTCTGCTACCTTACTGACCCAACCGAGAGGAAAGATCGTCAATATTAACGACATGGAACGCGTGAAAAGCAAACGAACCACCCAGCGGGCTCTGCATACACGTCTACGAACCGAAGCAAGACAACTCATCGACTCCAACCAGCTCAGCCTTTCTGCTCTGCGGGTTTTGCACGATAGACTGAAGACCTGCAATGACGGCCTGCAGAAGCTCAACGAGCAACTAGAGGCCTTCCTCACGGACGAACAGACTGCAGAGGATTTCGCTTCAGTATGCGAATACGAGGACAACGCAGCTGCAAGCTTGGCGCTGCTCCGCCATCACATTGAATCGCTCCAAGCTCCAGGCCCGCCGGCTCGAGGAATCGATCAACAAAACGAAGACTTACTACTTTCTCCGAGCGCACAACAGAATGATCACGGCGATCACGGAGGTCCAGGGCGGGTAGGTGCAAGACTTCCCAAACTAGAGCTTCCTCGTTTTGACGGAACCGTATCCCAATGGCAGCCCTTTTGGGATATGTTTTGCCATACTGTTCACGAAAACAACCATTTGACCAACATTGATCGGTACCACTACCTGAAGACTCTGCTGAGTGGGCCCGCAGCGAAAGCCATTGCAGGAATCCAGGTGAGCGAGGCATCCTACTGCGTCGCAATCGAAATATTGAAAAACCGATTTGGAAGCGTAAAAATTATACAGCAAACGTACCTTGCCAACCTAAGAACGCTGAAGCCAGTCAAGTCATCTGGTGACGTGACTGAACTGAGGGAACTCCTGGACAGCGTACAGATTAACGTGCGAGGCCTAAAAGCGCTGGGTCTGCCGGAGCTGTCGTACGCAGCAATGTTATTAGAGGTTCTCACCAAAGCAATCCCAAGTGACATCGTTGTTGACTATTATAAACGACAGAGTTTCCAAGAGAACACAAGAGAAAATCAGTCGTCAGAAGCAGAGCTTGAACAACTCTTATGCTATCTGCGTATAGAAGTGGAAGCCCGCGAGAAAACTGGGCTCGTCGCACTCACAAAACGAAGGCTGCCTGATGACACACGAAGCTCATACAGCAGCCATCTACCTTCAGCGGCGGTACTTCATAGTGACGCGGCTAAACAGCAAAGTGACTGTTTTTTTTTTGCCTTTCGCCAACGCACAACACCGAGAACTGTTCTTCTGAAATCAATCTCCAGGAGAAGAAAAGTCGGCTAGCAAAGGCAAGTAGATGCTTTAAGTGTACTGCTATTGGACATCGGGCGAGAGACTGCCGCCGAAACGTACGCTGCTCAGAATGCAGGGGCAGGCACGCTACTGTTGTTTGCGATCCGACGTACAAAGCAAAGAAAGGCTCACGCGAAAAAGGGAGCGCCATCATGCACGCGGCAACCAAGGATGCATCCGCGACCTTAGTGGATAAACAGGTGCTCTTACAGACATTTAGAGCCTGGTTGTTGAACGAAAGCCAGTCGTGCTACATCAGAGGAGTCTTCGACAACGGGAGTCAGAGAACTTTCATAAGAGAAGACGTGTCGAGGAAATTGGGATTACGCACGGAAAAAACAGTTGACTTGTCGATCAAAGCTTTTGGAGGATCTAACGGAGCACCACGAAGGAAATACAACTTAGTACAAGTCGCCGTGATGAGCCAGTTCAGCCATTTTCAACACGAAATCGAAGCAATTGAAGTTCCATTTATCTGCGAGGAATTAATTGAAGCTCCCGCTGCACACTCTTTTGTCCATGGGCTGAACAAGGAAGGACGGTATATTGCTGACTTTCTGTTATTCCCTGGACTCAAAGGAGAAGCTGGTATCAGCTTACTTGTGGGAGCAGACCAGATATGGAAATTCCTCCTGGACGAAGTCTGTTTGCATGGCGAGGACAAGTGCCTGGCGGCTATAAACACAAAGCTCGGTTGGACCTTCCAAGGACCCGTGACATCTGGCGGCGGTGTTTTCACAGAAGCTGGAACACACATCTGTGTCCTCCAAACAAACGGCGTCGAATCGGAAGTTTCCGACACGCTCCAGCAATTCTGGGAGCTCGAAAGCATTGGAATACTTGACGCTTCAACGAACTGCAGCCACGACAGCGAAGTTCTCCAACAATTCAGCAAGGATATTGCGTTTAAATACGGAAGGTATGAAGTAGCTCTTCCTTGGAAGAACCTTAACGTGGACCTGTCAGACAACCATACGGTTGCAGTCAAGCGGCTACACAGCTTGGTTCGACGGCTCATCACAGATACAGAGATGATCCAGCAGTATGACGCAGCTGTCCGGCAATACGAAGTGGATGGACATGCAGAGAAGATAACTTACGGCCAAAGCATACCTGACAAGTGTTACTACATGCCTCATAAGCCTGTGGTACGAGAATCATCAACAACGACAAGACTGCGACTCGTCTTTGACGCCTCATCCCATGCACTTGGGGTAGCTTCACTGAATCATCATCTGGAGAAAGGGCCGAATTTGACCAATAACATGGTGAAGACGCTCGTGAACTTCAGGCTGCACAAGATAGGTCTCACAGCAGATATTCAAAAGGCTTTTCTTCAGATATCTATTAGAGGAACCGACAGAGACGCTCTACGATTCCTGTGGTTTGAGCAGATGCCAAAGACAGGCCATCCCCTGCCTAAAGTGGAAGAGTATCGAATGACTCGCGTACCTTTTGGAACGACGGCAAGTCCATTTCTACTGACTGCCACATTACAGCATCATTTCAAGCGTATGGAAGTAGCTTTTCAAAACACAACTAGGCTACTCTGCGAGAACTTTTATGTGGACGATCTAGTCACGGGAGTTTCGACTTCAAACGAGGCATTTCGTGTCTACGGAGAAGCTAAAGTCATCCTTGAGGAAGCTGGCATGACGCTTCAGAAATGGACCACAAACGACGAGGCGCTTCAACGACACATTGGAAAGGAAGTTGCACCGTCTTCGGTTTCGGCACCAATATTTCTTGAAGTTAGAGGAACGACGTCCACGGTGTAAATTAGAAAAACGCGTTTACTTAGCAGGATATGTACAACGCTCACCGCTGCCTCGATCGTCTCGATGTTCTCTGTCAAGACGTTTCGCAAACAACTGCCGTTCACCGACGACGCGTCGTGAAGGTACACTTACGGCCCAGGAACTTCGAGCAGCCGAGAACGTATGGTTACGTCAAGTACAGCGAGAAGCATTTGCAGATGAAATGCCACAACTAATGAAAGGAGAAAACCTAGAAAATACTTCGCCAATACGAGACCTCCATCCCTTTATTGACGACGAAGGACTCGTCCGAATTAGGAGCCGCCTTCAAAACGCGATGTTGTCCTACAACGAGAAAAGCCCCGTACTACTTCCAGGTGAACACTCTGTGACTAGACTGATTGTTCTACATGCTCACAAAGCGGTGCTCCACGGAGGAGTCGGTGACACCTTAACTGAACTGCGTGCTAGGTTTTGGGTCACCCGTGCACGACAGGCTGTTAAACGGGTTACCGGAAAGTGTCTACTTTGTGCCCGGTTCCGCCTTAAAGCGGCAAGTGCGCCGATGGCTCCCCTTCCAAGTGACCGAGTCCTAAGCTCTCGTCCCTTCGAAGTTACGGGAGTAGACTTTGCCGGACCTATTTTTGTGAAAAACTGTAGCGTAGTGAAAGCGTACTTTGTGCTATTCACTTGTGCTGTGGTTAGAGCCATTCATCTTGAGCTTGTTGTAGACCTTACGGCAGACTCTTTTCTTATGGCTTTTAGAAGATTCTGTGCCAGGCGTGGCACCCCGCGAGTCGTGTACTCGGATAACGCTGCAACTTTTAAAAGGGCCTCAAGAGAACTAGCTGCAATGCACCAGTTGCTGAGAAAAGATGAAGTGAAAAACTGCTATGCTAGTCATCATGTAACGTGGAGATTTATCGCAGAAAGAGCGCCATGGTGGGGCGGTTTCTGGGAAAGGCTCATTGGAATTGTGAAGACGTGCCTTCGCAAATTATTGGGAAAGGGGTCTTTCGATCTGCAACAGCTGGGCACCTTACTGTCTGAAACCGAAGCGGTTGTGAATTCACGACCGATCACTTTCATTTACTCCAGTTTCAATGAGCCAGACGTATTGACTCCGTCTCATTTTTTGTTAGGTTGTCGTATTCTATCTCCAACAGATGCTTCAGATGAGTCAAAGGCTCAGCTAGAAATACTTAATCTTTGGATTCACCGACAGCGTGTGATGGAGCACATGTGGAAACGATGGCAGCATGAATACCTACTTGTGCTCCGCAGTTTTCACTCCCGAAAAGTGCAGCGTACTCATAACCTAAAAATAGGTGATGTAGTAATAATTCATGATGATAGTGTACAAAAACTGTTCTGGAAGACTGGGGTCATTACGGGACGCATTCAAGGCAAAGACGGTGTAGTGCGGGCATGTAAGGTAAAGCTGCCAAAAGGGAGTGAAATCATCAGGCCTGTACAGCGTTTGTACCCCCTCGAAATTCCCACCTCGGGCCCGGAGTGTGTTAAATATTGAAAACGAGGAGGAGGAATGTGCGCGCAACAAAGGACCGAAGACGAGAAAGTGCGAAAAAAAAGCGCGAGGACAGAGAACATCGAGACGATCGAGGCAGCGGTGAGCGTTGTACATATCCTGCTAAGTAAACGAGTTTTTCTAATTTACACCGTGGACGTCGTTCCTCTAACTTCAAGAAATAACGTGTGCTTGTGTATAGAGAGAGTACCAGCTAGAATATAAATAAACAAATGTTATACTTGAAACACGCAAATTGTGTCCAATCGAGATGGAGGGGAGAAGAAGGGGGGTGGGAGAACCGAAGGTAGAGAAAAAAGGGGTGTTGATGCTAGAGCTGGCATGGAAGAATCAGATAATACGATATTAAATCCGTATTTTGTATATTTCAATTTGGGGCGTAACAACGTGCCTTCTTGCACGAACTACTATTATTCATTGCACGCTAAAGACCAAGTCCATCTGAAATTAGTTCATCTTCATCTGGGTCAGGAAACGTGTCCCAGTTGGATCCAGCTAAAACAGCTTCATAATCCAGCTGAAAATGAACTGATTTATACATTTGCGCGGTTAGCAAGAGGTGGCGACAGTACAGTGACCAATTCTGCATCCGACGCATTGTCTATTGTACATCAGGCACCAGACACCAGCATACAATCGCTAACTTGATAGACTTTTCAAAAGGGACTATTGGGGACGCTTAAAATTCAAAAGCTTTTCCTCGCCGTTGACCTAGAACGTCCCTGCCAATGAGATTTTTTTTTTTGTTGATCTGGCATGCACTCGTGCGGCGGTCACCGAGAACAACAGGGACAAGTTTCGATTGTCGCGCCTTCAGCGCGAGCTTCCCACCTTGGACAACACCTCGGCGCATAGCCTGCTATATACTGACAAAGCCTGGCAGATTGCCACAAGTAGCGAGCGCCGAAATGGAAAACGTGGAGCGGTAGACAACGGATGAGAGGAAAGCCACGTGACAGGCGCCCCGCTCCGGCGAGACGCCGAAACACACTTGTCCCAAGCGAACAAGTTTGTTTCGGGTCCTCGCCGCTGCAAAAGCTGTGCGCTGACGTCCAGGTTCCCCGAGAAATGGCTCTTTGATGCTCTGTGGCACCAGATCCTCGCACTCCAAATCTGCGACCGGGCACTCTACGGCTCCATCGTCGAACTGCCAGGCTTTGTGAGGTAAGAGGAGGCTAGTCTAGGCGTCATTCTCTGCCTCGAGCGTGCACGTTCAACCAAAGGCATGGTGAAAGGTAACGAGCGCATGCTGGAGGCCAGGGGACCGAAATAGGTGGCCCGTCGTTCCCACTTTGTCAGTTACTAACTTACTATGCAAGAACCCAAGACGCCGGGAAGTCTGAGTCCCCAAATTGTTGTTGCGTAGCGGTTGATACCCGTGGCGCCCGTAAGGTAGTGGCTAGATGAATGGATGGATGGAAGTTAACGGCTGTACACACTTTATAACAAACGCTCGCGCCACCTAGCCGAAAGACCAAAAACACATTATTCTCCACCCGCCCTACTAAGCCAATTTCCTTCCCTTTTGTGTTTTCGTAACTATCACCAGGCCGTGTGCGATATTACCAAAATAACCTTTAAAAGAACGGGCAAACAAAAATACAGCGTATCTAGACAAACTAATATTCCGAGCTTTTTTCGCCGGAAAAATTAACTACGCGTCGTCGAACGCTCATTGTCTACCCAAATGCAGCGCTGGCGGTAAGGACCATGTGCCAAAGTTTCGGCACTATAAGCGCTATCTTATTGCGAAGTTATAAACGATTTTCTGAAAAATTCAAAGGGAAAATGGGGCTCGCTTTCGGCTGTTTTCGGCAACGCCATAGAACATTGTGCATTTGAGAGCTCTGTCTTTTTCCCATTGAAATTTGTAGAAATTCACAGAACTTATGAATAAAATAATGGTTAGTTCTGTAACTTTGGTATCTGGTTCAAACCTCTAGCTCTGCATTAGGGCGGTGAACGAGCGTTCGGAAATGTAATGAATTGAGACCGCAGCTCTTAGGTGCACGTTTCCGGCTTGAGCGGCGTCGCCGTCGAAATCGGCGTAACCGCGCGTTGCATTATGGGACGTTTTCCATAATGACATCATACGTGACGTCACGTGTGACGTCACTCTCGTGACATCACGCGGCGCCTAAATTTGGCAAGAAATTTATCCGCTAAATTTAGCGGGGACATTTTCCCGTTAAACATAGAAGAAAAATATTTCCGCTAAATTTAGCGGGGAAAATTATCCCACAATTTCCGAATAAATTCCTCTTCGTACGCTTCCCTCCCCTCAGTAGCCTACCCTCCTCCGAGAATTCTGAAAGTCTAACACATAGAGGAATTAACTAACAACTAACACTAACAACAACACACATAGAGGAATTAGAGTTCACCAGTGTGACCTCATCGGTAACAGTCGAAATGGCTTGGATCCCTTAAATTTAGAACAGTACCGCTTTTAAGGCACTGGACCTCAAAAACAAGAAAAGGAGAGCTCGGCTGGTATCCCGAGTAGTCTATGGAGATTTCAGATAAAAAACGGTTAGTGTATTTTTGTCATGACGATCCATTTTATTGATAACGCCGATGAAAAGCGCCGACGAAAAGCTTGATGCGTCGTCATGCCGTCACATGCCACAGGCACTCCGTCATCAGTGCAGTCGTAAAGCCGGCCGGCCTGGGGGGCAATTGCTCCACGCATGTGAGCTTCACGTCGTCCCCTGGAATTGCAGCGAACAAAAATGGCAAACGGTACGGTTAAAACATCAAAGTGACCATCAGGCCTCGGTCACACTGCTAATACATTGTACAAAAAAACAGTCGGGAGACAATGTCTGGGGCCTTTCTTGTATGACAGTCCCGTCACATATTGGTGCTACAAAATCCGTCTGGAGACATGTTCGAAGTGTACATACGTATAAAACAAACATACAACTTGCTTCAGGCGTGTTTGCAGATAACTCTGCCATCATGCCTGCAGCAAACACCGTGTCTTTTGTAGGATGAGCAGTGGGACAGGTGGCTTTAGAGCAACAAACCTTGAAACCACCAGACCATGAGACGTCCCGAAAATGCGACAAACACTAAAGCCGGAGGCAGACAAAAGACAGTCTGCAAACAGATTCGAATGCGAGTCAGCGCGAGATCTACGCTTCGAATGCCGCGTGGCAATGAGGTCAAGGAGGAAACTTGGCACGCGGCACTCGAACCACGGATATTGCGGTGACTAGTGTTTGCAGACCGCGCTTTGTATGAGCAGTGTTACCTCGGCTAGGTCACCAAACCATCGCACCATAAGACCATCACACTAGCCTAGTTACGATAGCGCTCACAACTGTCATTAAGCCAACGACAGTTTACCCAATCGCGATCGGCCGGAGATAATCAAACAATATGTTGGGTTAACCGGCCGGACACGGCGGCGCCAAATATTATTAAGTCGCTAACGATAATTGAGTTCAGCTGAGCTGGCCAACCTCAGTTATTTGATGGGGGCTCACCCCGATAGAGCTAAAGATGGCGGCGTCCGCCCATGGCCAGGGCCCGTGAAACACTTATGGCAACCCCCGGAATCTTCGAGCGACTTCCGGTCAGCTGTTTGAATGCCATCGCTTATTCGTTGGTGCTCTATATAGAATTTACACCGGAAAATTGATTTAACAGGCTGAGACACGTATTTTTGTTGCTGTTTGCTGATTTAAAAATTTATCCTGCTAAGGTGAAACAAATATTTTGGTTTGCTAAAATTTCGGCCTCGTATTTTGCCTTCATTGGTCTTTTTTTTTTTTGTATTTTGACCTTTGAGAGCAGTTGCACATCGGCTGCCGCGGTAGCGCGGATGCGTCGGCTGCTCGACGGCGCTTGTGCCAGCGGTGCGGTGGTGGTTTTCGTTTGCGGCAGCGGGCTGTGGCGTTGCCTTTCGTCTACTAGTACGCCGAGCTCACGGCACCTTGTATATTGTTCGGCTCGGTGGTACTCTAATTTCGGTTCTTTGTTCTTTGCCAAGTTCTTTCGGTTCCCGAGTGTCGAAAGGTAAAGGCAGGGGTTGGTGCCGTATCTGACTGCGATGAAGTTCTATGGAGGAAGAGGGGTATGTTCCCAGACCTCGATTTTTCTAGGAGGTGTGTGTATGACAGACCAATGCATAACCAAAGCCCGTCCTGTGCGGCCTTTATGAGACTCTAACGACGGGGCCACATTAACTTTAGCGTAGTTCTTTGCGCTATACGCATAGTTATTGACTGATATATAATTGTAATTTTATTGATGATAATCGGTAATAATGGTAAATATTCAGTGATAACCGTTGAATGAAATTATTGTTTACAATATTTCACGGAAATAAACCCGTATGAAGTATTCCATACGAATATTTATTATAGAAGTATGATCTGTAAATTTATTTTTTATTTATTGATAAACAATTAAAGTAATTTTATTAGTAATAATTAATCACACGATAAATTGTGATAAAGAATTTATGTTACCATGATAACCGAATGTGACAGTTTTTTTTCGCACTCTTCTATTTTTAATCTAAAATACATTCGGTGTTACATTATTCTAAAGAAAATTTCCGTTACACTCATCATGAATAAAAATGTATAGCTGCGTCACAGCTTCATGTAATTATTTAAAAATATAAGAACAATAATTACATTTTCTTCCGCCGAGAATGAACGTTCGGCGTGAAATAGTTTTGTTCCCTAAACAAATAATTTTAACCACCATGATCTAACTGCGCATCGTGTTCAGCAAAATTACCGTTTTGCGTGCACTAAATGGAACAATCGCATAACCACTGAAATGTTTACCGGATTCACTCACCAAATAACTTTCGCAGGACCCCCTCCGGCATGCTTCTGGGAAACTCTGGTTATAACGCAAATCGGCGGAATGTGAGACAAGGCGCAGATCAAGCGGAGGGCACATGAGAGTTGCAACCAAGTACTTGTCTACAATCTGTTGCGGATTAACAGGAGCATGACAAGCCCCTCCCGCAAAGCCTTCCACTCTTTCCGCCTTAGCAGACTGAACGCTGGCGTTCTCTCTGCTAAAAAGTAAAGAGTGGAGGGCTCTAAAAAAAACCTTGCCCTGCTTTTTTTTTATTTTTTACCTGCAACGGGGTATAAGGAGAATACTTTTCATTTGACTCCTTCGCACTAGACAGCGCCTACAGCACCAAATACTTCCTCAGAGGGGTAAGCATCTCGGATCCGAAACAACGCACGCGTTTCACGGATTCGCGTGGTGCCGAGGGAGAATTCTGCCGCCGGCGCCGAGATACCGGATTCGACGAGACACGAGAAAGCAGAGACAGCTATTTAGCCTGGCGCTCGTGATGTCTGCGAAGACAGATGGCGGCTGCTTCCCCTCCGTCGTAGCTGCCACAGCTAGCAGACAACGGAGTAAGTTGTCTGCAAGCTGCACACATCGGGAGACGGCGCAACGCAGACGAGTTATAATTATCGCTAACCTGGTTGCCTGCGAATACGTTCGTCGTTGACTTCGACAAGTTTGTTGCTGTAACATTTTACAAGAAAATAACTACGCCGTGAAAGTTTACAAGGTACAATGCACTGCCTAAGTGCACCTTTAGAAAAAGTTCATGCTTTATATGAGCAAGAGCCGATTTTTACGGTTCGATCTTCTGCGTTGGAAACATTGTGGCCAACCTATACATCAAAACAATATTTTTTTCTTGACAACAACAAATGGTTTTTGGGAGATTGTACCAATTATATTCCAATAATATATTATCTCCGATCACTCGAATAAGGGGATGCTGAAAAATGTAATAAACAAATAACACGGCAATAAATAAATAACGCGGCAATAAACAAGACAACAAGTTAGGGATTCATGCGGCCTAGCTTACCGACTTTTTCGACAGTTCAAATTTTATACATTTAAGATACCATTTTGGTGAACAAGAATATATATTCAAGACCGCGAGCCTCACCCTTGACTGCACCTTCATCGTAAATGACGCCCCACAAACCGTAGGAATAGTTCGGTGCCAGGAATGACTTTATCACGGCGATGTATCTATGTCACGGAGAGAGACAGAGAGAAAAAACATTACAGAACGTTTTCAAAGCCGCATTTTGAGGGCCTTTAAAATGTATATAACCTAAAAATGTAGATCAATTAACCGTCCTGACCAACTGAGAAATACAATCCACTGAGCCTTCATTTAAACTTAATTTGGTTTCCTGTGGTTTTTTATTGATTTTTTTTTATTAACGGTCAGGCATGCTGAACACTGCATACCTCACCGGTAATTTGATCGACCGGGTTCGCATGATCCTGCTCAGCAAATCATTGCTTTTCTGTTTTCGGCGGCTTAACAAGCTTCATTCTCTTTTGATGAGATCGGCCCGTTCATCTATAATTAGATAGAACTTTCATCAAATATATATATAAAAGAACTTAAAGCAGAAAATGACGACAGTAATATAAGGGGTGTTTTAGCTAACATGCTCCAATTTTGAATAAAAAAGAACCGCCCTGCTCGAACAAGACTAACTGTGTGTTGTCAGTAAACACGTTGTGCAAGTGCCGGTATTTGTTTGATTGAAATGAATAAATAATTATTCAGATAATTAAGACTAACTAGGTGGTAAAACGAATAGACTTATCCCAAAACTCGATTCGCGTCATCGCATATGTAATGTTACCTTATGCATTGTGGGAATTACTGGAACGCAAAATCCATACGCGCAAAATCCCAAAAGTTCCAAAAATTCAGCGCGCGGTGGCGGATTTATGGAAGTAGTTTATTTGGATGTAGCACTCAGCAAACTATCCCGAAGTGCTACGTTAAGGAGCCGTTGTTCAGCTTCATCCAGGTTAGTGCTGCCACAAAAAAAAAAAAAAAAAAACGCAGTTCTCGCGTTTTGTATACGTTTGGTAAGCACTATGCTTGCGACATGAGACGCGTTTCGTGTTTTTTGCTGTTCCTGCTTAAAAAGAAAGCCCACAACTTAAACAACACCACGTGAGGCGTTCACGCACGGTAAAGTTTTGGCACATTGATACTTTAGACCCATGTTGCAGTAAAAAAAACTATCTCCAAACTCCGGTCTAAAAACATGCTTTTCGTGCAAGGCTCGTCAAATTATGAGGCGCTGGAGAAATGCAGCCTTCTGAGTTAAGTCCTTATTTCGAACTCTTTTTGTTCGCCTTCCGCCCATTGAAAAGCATGCGGGAAGGGCCTTAGAACGCACCTGGTATCGCTGCGCCGCAGCGTTCTTCCGCATCAAAAAGTTCGTCTGCTTTCCTCGCCGTCACCATGGCAACGAACACCGAATGAATAGAAGCACGCACGGTACCGCCGCGTGAAGCTAGCAACAGCTGACGCCATTTTACGAACGCCGTCTGCTAGCCAAAGCCGAACGCCGTGTGTCAGATCAACCGCCTCCGCCGGTGCGCCGCTAGCAAAGACGACGAAGCTGAGGCACGCCGACGGCGAATGTGCGAGCAACAGCACCGCGGGACGACTGCAACTGCGGCATTTATTTTGATCACAGGCGCGAAATAAGCAAGAACAATTTTTATTTGAATCATAACACCCGATATCCAAGTTGGGGACCACATACCTTTGCTGGGTCTTTCCTGTGAACTTTTTACAGAGACACGGGGTGCCGCATTAAAAACACAGCTCCGTTTGCAAAATATGGGGGCCCTGAAAAGGACCGTTTAGACCGCTACCCGAACCTATAACTGACATAACGAGCACTTGACGAGCGGTTGGCGCATAAGTCGTCTTTATGCATGCAGGCGGGTGACGGGCTCAGCGCAGCGGATCCCTCGAAGTCACCGGGGCCGTCAGAATTCTCGCCCTGTCTGCGTCGGGGCTCTAGATTTTGGCGGCCGCGGCGACGAACGACTGGAATCTATCAGTGTTTCCGCGCGCCTTGTCTCTCCTCCAAAACATGAACTTTGCAAGGTGACCAGTGAAATGGTGGCTCTCGCGCCATCCAGATGGAAGAGAGTTTTTGACGTGGGCCCAGGTGCAATCCACCGTATTTGTGTGCGCACCAGTGTTCGCGTCGACAAAGTTAAGCTTATGGTTGACGGTGAGGTGCGTGAAGCGAGCGTCATCTGCAAGCTTGCGATAGCCAGCCCAACAATCAGTGATTATTCTTGTTTCAGGGCGGACCCACTCGGCTATTAGCCCTTGCAGGGATTTAGCGTCACGGGTCTCCACGGGAACAAGAAAGCAGCACCCGCTGCAACGCGCCACACCGCCGAAAACCACCTGGCCAGGCCTTAAATACCCGCGATGGTACTTGTGCCGACCGAACATACTCTCGTCTGGTTCTACAGTCACGCCGTCGCCACCAATCATGTCTGAATGCTTAAAGACGGCATTTACCACAACCTCCCGACAAAGGCTCGCCCAATCAGTTATTGTCTTACTTGCGATATCAGCCTCCCGCTGAATGACGGCGCACGGTAGGTTCTGGCATCCGGAGGATGATTTTCATGAGTTGGAGAAGCGTCAGGTGCGGGCGATCCTTCGAAAAGGGAACCGCTCCGTATCGAGACTTCGCCCCGGCACTGAGCTTTGACCGACTTCCTCTTGGGCACCTCACGAATCATCCACACACCGCACTCCCCCCCCCCCCCCCCCCCCCCCCCCCCCCGTGTAGCCATTCGCAGATCTAGCGCGGACTTGCAGCTTGTCATCGCAGCTTCGCACTCTGGACACGCACGAAAAGCCAGGAGCAGGCCAACGCGCTAAAGCAAATTAATTGCTTCAAGAGGGTCTTTCATGGCGCCAAGAAGACGGCACAAGTTGAACGCCATGGCACTGCGATGCTCGCCTCTGGAAGAACGAAGCGCCGAGGGGGAACTGCGCGCTTCTTTGCATTTATTATATTTATTTCATCCGCCATTTTATACCTCGTGACACAATTCTAACAAACTCATTGGTTGAACGGTAGGGCCACACCATCGCGTAACAAAAAAAAAAAAAAAAAAAAAAAAAAAAAACGCCAAACGTATGTTTACGGACGGCATCGTCACAGAGAAGGGAGCAGTCGAACCCAACAACAAAATGAAGTAACAAAGTGAATAAAAAAAAAAAAAATAAGAAGGGAGCCGTTGGAGTTTCGGACAGCGTCTTCTTTGATGAGAGGAGCTGCGCTGGCCAGAGCGGCCAGAGCAGCCGTGCTGCTCTGGCTGCTCGGAATATTCCTTTTTGTTCTTTTTCTTACTCTGCAGGGTGCCACGACCCTCATTTGAAGCTGATTTGTTAAATTAATAACAAACAACGCGTTGGAACGGAGGAGGTAGAGAGTCTTGGCGTCAGAATTTGACGTGGTAGAAAAGAAAAGAAAATAACGAATGCACAATACGTACCGTATGCCAAGACCGTTATGCTCCGCACTTGGCGAGGCCTTATGACGCAGCCGACGACCGTAAGGCTATTTATTTTGTTTCTTTTAATTTTTTTATCGTGACGACTACTCCACTGTGCCTCGGAGTCTCCAGCGGAGATCCGGCAGTTTTTAATAATTATTATTATTGTCGTTTGAAGGGCACTCTTCGTATGCTGCATCGTTTCTGACGCCACAAAAATATGGGGCGGGATTACTTTGCACCACGTATAAACAAAAATAAAAAAAAGTTTAGTTCATGGTCAGATTGGTTTGTGGATACAATTAGTCCAATAAAATTAGTCCAATAATTGATAAGTACGATTATTTAGCTTCATCATTAGCTTCTTTTGTGTGCATGCGTGAAATACAACACCCAACGAGAAGACACGAGAACAACGCTGCAACTGCTGAACCATAGACCACTTTTGAGAAAATGCGCCGCAAGACAGGGAGAGAGTAAGGGATACAAAAAGTAGACTATTTAATGTCACCAAATTCCAGGGCGGGGAACACTTGGCGGTATCAGTGTATCGTTTTGAAAGCGATACAAAAACACGTCGGGGACACTGGACTTCTGAACCAACTTTGAGTGCGTGCGCGTTTGATGTGTGTTTATGGCATTCTTTCTTTTTAGAGTGTAGGCGGGAAAAATCCACACGGACTAGAGCCTGAGTAATGCAGAGTTGTTACTCAGGCCCCAGTCAGTGTGGACTTTTCGCGCCTATAATCTAAACAGAAAGAATATTTTTATGGCGTCAGGAACGAAGCAGCATAGAAAGAGTGCCCTTCAAACGACAATAATAATTACTAAAACCTGCATGCCGGATCTCCGCTGGAGACTCCTAGGCACATTGGAGTAGCCGTCACGATAAAAAATCAAAAGAAAAAAAAAATAAATAGCCTAACGGTCGTCGGCTGCGTCATAAGGCCTCGCCAAGTGCGGAGTATAACGGTCTTGGCATACGGTATGTATTGTGCATTCGTTATTTTCTTTTTTACCACGTCAAATTCTGACGCCAAGACTCTCTACCTCCTCCGTTCCAACGCGTTGTTTGTTATTAATTTAACAAATCAGCTTCAAATGAGGGTCGTGGCACCCTGTAGAGTAAGAAAAAGAACAAAAAGGAATATTCCGAGCAGCCAGAGCAGCTTCTTTCGTCAAAGAAGACGCCGTCCGAAACTCCAACGGCTCCCTTCTTATTTTTTTTTTAATTCACTTTGTTACTTCATTTTGTTGTTGGGTTCGACTGCTCCCTTCTCTGTGACGATGCCGTCCGTGGACATACGTTTGGCGTTTTTTTTTTTTTTTTCTTTTTGTCACGCGATGGTGTGGTCCGACCGATCAACCAATGAGTTTGTTAGAATTGTGTCACGAGGTATAAAATGGCGGATGAAATAAATATAATAAATGCAAAGAAGCGCGCAGTTCCCCCTCAGCGCTTTGTTCTTCCAGAGGCGAGCATCGCAGTGCCATGGCGTTCAACTTGTGCCGTCTTCTTGGCGCCATGAAAGACCCTCTTGAAGCAATTAATTTGCTTTAGCGCGTTGGCCTGCTCCTGGCTTTTCGTGCGTGTCCAGAGTGCGAAGCTGCGATGACAAGCTGCAAGTCCGCGCTAGATCTGCGGATGGCTACACGGGAGGGGGGTGGGGGGAGTGCGG